CAGTTCCACTCTGTCCTCTAGGGGCGCTGTGGGTCAGAATGGACTCCAGGCAGTGGGTGTGGTTGGGGCTTTGCTTCTGTGAAGATTGACAGCCTTGGAGACCCTGTGGGCAGTTCCACTCAGTCCTCTAGGGGCGCTGTGGGTCGGAATGGACTCCACGGCATTGGGTGTGGTTTTTTCCTTTTTAACTATTTAAGAACAGCAGGAAGACTAGTGTTTGACCCCACAACCCAGCACCACAGCTGAGCTACAAGGACACATAAAATGAACAATCCCAAAGGCCCCCACTTTGGTACTTCTGAAAACGTACAGAAGGGAACGCTCCCATCTCCTTAACAAAGCGTTTCTCCCCCAGGGGTGACCTTCTGTCCCCGGCAGCAGAGGTTTGGATAAAGGGAGAAAGTGACGGTAACCCCTCCTTGGGTTTCTGAGGCAGTATCACTACGGAAGTAGATTGCCCAACCTTCCTTCCGAAGAGTGGCTGGTGGGTTTGAACCACCAGCCTTCTGGTTAGTAGTCAAGTGCCTTAGGCAATGTGCCACCAGAGCTCCTATGATATGGCCTTGTGAACATTACAAAGAAAACCCTGTTTCCAGGGGAGATCACACCCACACGTATGTTGGTGCCGGTACCGTGCCGTGGATCCTGATACACAGTGACCCTACAGGACAGAGTAGAACTGCTCCATAGGGTCTCCTAGGTCTTCCAGCTCCGAGAACAGATTGGAGACAGAGGGAGGCCGAGCGGGGCCTAGGTCCTCCAGGCTCTTGCGTTTGCAGAGCGGCAGGCCTCTCGGTTAGTGGCTGAGCACGTAGCCATCGATCCACCAGGGCTCCTTCCACGTGTTCACGGTTAGGATTTCAGCACAGATTTTGTTTTTTCAGGGATGCATGATTTAATCCACAACACCATCCAAGACCTCACAGCTCCCATGCAGAGGGACCATCTGGCCGCACAGCCAGCAGGGTCCCTCCCTTCAAGGGGCTCGTGGAGGGCAAAGAGCTGGTGGTCCAGGCAGACCCCTGGATTCGTATTCTGCAAGAATCCGTATCCAGCAAGAGCTGGGGGACGCTGCAGGCCTCCGTGTCTCCACTTCTTTCTATACGGGGGATGCGCCTGACCATCCCGGCAGTGGCCCCGGACTGAAGGAGAGAATGTTGGCGAAAGGTCCTGGCCTCAGCAGCTCCTCCACAAAGTGACTCGCTGTCCCCGAGGCCCCCAACGATTGTCACGGCAGAAAGCCAAGGTTTCCCCAGCACCCTGCGCCCCGCTAATTGAATAAATATTCATCGGCGTTGAGTCCCAAGTACAGTGGTTTCCATGGAGACAAGTTCTAATGGTTTAATTAGATGAGGGCTTTTCAGAGACTCTGTCGTGGAGCAACCCCACCCTGCTGCCGCCCTCCGACTGCTTCCCCCAAACAGCCCAGAAATCTGCTCCCACCCCGTGCGACTTGGGGAATGTCTGTGTCCAACCCCGACCCAAGCCACACTGGGCAGGGACACACCTCCTCTGGCATCTTTCCAGGACGCCATCCACCTGCCATCCTTCCTTCCACCTGCCAGTCTGTTTCCACTGTGCCCTGAGCTCGTCCCACACTGTGAGCAGGGGGTGGCGTGGGGCCAGAGTCCAGGCCACCCGACGCTGCTGCCCCCGGGGTGCCCTCCAAGCCCTGCCGTTTGTCTGTGTGTACACTATCTGTCCAATTCTGCGGGCCCACGGCCTGAAGGGGCCGTGGCAGCACAGGCCATCCCAGCCTGAACCTTTCTGCCTGACCTGCCCTCACAGTTCATCCTAACTGTCACTAAGGATTGCGTCTTAGAAAGTTAATCCAGAGATGCCCAGGGTTGGCATGCATGAACTTGTTCAGCTTATTGCAAGATGGGCTTGGCAAGGCATGCAGGTAAGACCTCATGACACCCATTATGAACCGGAGAATCTGAGTTAACAACTATGCTTACAATGTTAGTTCAGAGGTTAGAGTCCCGATCCTTAGACTTTAGGCTTTCACCTTTAACTAGAAGTCTCGGGAGGAAGGTTTGACCATGACTTGAACTCTGTGGAAGTCCCTCATAGCTAGGGTCCTAAGGCTCTTGATTGCTAACCGGAAGGCTGGCGGTTCAAACCCACCAGCCACTCCTTGGAAGGAAGGTTGGGCAATCCTACTTCCGTAGTGATACTGCTTCGGATACCCCAAGAGGGGTCGCTATGAGTCGGGGTCGACTCCTCGGCAAATAACAACAGCAAGGTCAGCAGACAGATTCTCAGCTCTAGACAGAAACTCTACCTTCTCTCAGCAAGTGAGCAGAAGTTTAGGACATATGTGTGAATTTGTCACCTGGGCTCCACATAACAGTGCCAGCATGATGTCAAAGACCAGTATGCTATGTCTTTTCTCCAGGGTTAGAAGCTAGCTGTGCTTGAATTATGTTGTTGGCAAAGAATATTGACTATACCATGGACTGCCAAGAGAAAGAACCAGTCTGTCTCGGAAGCAATACAGCTGCAATGTTCCTCAGAAGCAGGGATGGCCAGCCTTCGTCTCATGTACCTTGGCCGGGTTGTTTCTGGAGAAGGACATCACGCCTGGTGGAGCAGAGGGTCGGGAAGAGGGGCTAGCCCTCAACGAGATGGGCTGACTCAGTGGCTGCAACGATGGGCTCCAGCCAGGACTGTGTGGTGGTGCGGGACCGGGCAGGGTTTCGTTCCCTTGTACAGCAGTTGCTGCAAGTTGGCACTGACTTGACAATACCTGACAAGAGCAACCACCCTGAGGAAATGCATTTCTGCTCATTAAAGCCCCCACTTGTGTTTGCGAATAACTCTAGGACTCTCTCAAGAGAGAGACACCCTGCTGTTTGGCTCCCAGACCACCTGGGCCCTGACCAAGCCTCGGCTGCACTGGGAGACGCACCGAGCCTCAGTTTCCCCACATGGAAGTGAGAGATGGACGCTCAGGGCCCTTCCAACTCGGACAGTCCCTGCTTGTCCAGGTCACCGGCCTTCAGGTGCCCTGGGAGCAGGATGGGGGCTTTGCCCGACCGCAGCCCTTGCTGTGGACCAGGGCAGGGCTTCAGGGCGCTGAGCACAGATTCGGGGAGACAGCATTGCAGGCTACGACCCCCACATGCAACTCCGGCCTTCCTCATTCACATTCGAGCGCATTTACTGTGCTCAGGACAACAGCGTGGGGTTCCAAGCGCCACTCCACCCTGAGCAGACGGTTTCCTTGGGAGGGCCTCGGCTAGAGGAGGCTCGGAGGCAGAACGTGTCATTAAACGGAAAGAACAGCCGAGAGTTGTTTGCGGCCCCACGAGGGGCACAGAGGCCCGGGGCTCACCACCTTCGTCTCCTCTGATCCTGAAGGGCTAGCACTGTGTGAAGGCCGTGCAGCCCCTGCTGAGGCTTGGGGTCATACAGCGGCCTGGTGGAGGTGGGGGACGGCTGCACAGTCTGGGTCCGGTCACCCGGTGGGCCCCCTGTGGCCTTCCCATAGGACCCTCGGCGGAGGGCCTTGCTCAATGCGCTTCACATCCTGGGCTCCTGTGGGCCGGGACCTGGCAGGATGCCAATGGTGCACTTGGAGGGGTCCCTGAGAGAAGAGAACAAGGGGACTGGGTTAAGAGTGGGGCACAGAGGGGGCCGTGGGGAGGTGGGTGTGGCCTGGGGTCTGGTCAGACCAGAGCTGCAAGGGGCTGCCTGACAGGGCTGTGGCCTTCAGAGAGGCCTGGCCCAAGGGGAAGACCGTCAGTACCGCCAGCCCTCCCTGCCCATCTGTCTCCCCGGAACCGAGGCCAGTGTCCTGCAGTCCAGAGGACTTCCACACGGACCAGGCCCAGGGGCGCACATGGAGGGCCCCAGGGTGGACAGGATGGAGGTTTCCCTGAAGGACCATCTGCTCTGGGCAGGACGGAGACTCAACCAGCCGAGGTCAGAGGCCCTCCTGAAGGTGACCCCGAGGCCACAGCCTGCGATTAGTGGCAGCGCACAGTGGGAGGGTGTCCGGGTGTGAGGACTTGACTCCCAGGACCGGCAGAAGCTCCACCTGCGTGGGTGTTGGACCCTGGAAGGAGGGCCGGCCGCTCCTCAGCTCCACCCCCTAGTCCCTGGGAAGGGGAGGGGCGACCCCCGGCACCTGACCCTGTCCCCCGGTCTGCCCAGTGCAGCTGGCTCGGCCTCACCCCACCTTCCTCTCCAGCCGGGGGGTGGAGCACGTGAGCTGGTGGCGGGGAGGTGGACCTGCAAACCAGGACGTGGCGCTTTCCCCGGGCTGGGGCTGGAGGCGGCCCTGCGCGTCCGCGCAGCGTCCTCCGCTAGGGCGGGGAGCGCAGGCCGGGGGTGCAGCGGGCGGTCAGGGCCGCTCCCACACCCAACGCTTAGCTGCGCAGGACGACAGGAGGGCCACGGACTCGCAGTTCAGGCCTTTCATTCTTCATTCATTGCTCCGCTCTTCCCTAAAGATGCCCCCAGCTGCCGGCCCGGGATGCAGCACACCCCGTCCGCCCTGGAAGCCCCGAGAGCAGGAAGGCACCGGAAACGATCAGTCTCCATGACGGAAGGGGTCCTGGGCAGCCCTCAGGCATCATGAGGCCCCGAGGGGACATCCTGGAGGACTCCCTGGAGGAGGTGTGCGAGCTGATCTTGAGATATGAGTGAGAGTGCTCCTCCCAACCCTGCATCAGGCAGGCGCGCAGGACGGCTGAGGGAGAGGCCAAGGGTGAGTCCTGCCTGTATTGGATTGACTTCCTTCTTAGTGATGGTGCCCTGGAGGCTTGGTCTGGGGTTTCTGGGAAGATCCCCTTGGGGCCCTTGCCGAGGGGCTGGGCTCCACTGGATGGCAGGCCTTGACTGGGGGATGGGGACAGAGAAGAGGCAAGGGGACACCCAGAGATGTCTGGGGACATGGAAATTCCCCTCCCATTCCATCCGAAGCTTGACACTGGAGACCAAGTCTGGGGCTGGGGCCTGGGAATGTCGCCCCCTCCGGGGCACCAGTTGGCCCCAAATTTCCAAACTCACTGGGCCTGCGCCCTCGGCCCCCAGCACAGCGGTCAAGGCTGCAGGAGTCAAGGGCAGGATGCGCGGGGTAGGGACTTCCTGGCGCCCAGGGCCGCTCCAGTCAGGAAGGTCGCCTCCTCGGGGGAGCAGCGGAGGTATTTGCTTACTTTTCTGCTGTAATTGAAACAATATGTAGATGAGGCATGTAATTAATGTGCTGGCTCCCAGACACTGAGCGATAACGTGTCCCGTCGGTACAAACCTCTGTTAGAGTCACGCACGGCTTCCCCGGGCACTGCCCGGAGCCGGGGTTAAACAGCACCTCTAAGGGTGACACGAGCCTGACACCAGGCTTTGTCTTTTGTGCTGGCTCCATTTTCGGAGGCACCTTCGTCCTCACGTGCTCGGTACAACAATAGCACCCAACTCAGGCTCACCTGCAGATGGCAGCCCTAATTAGGAGCTGAGAGCCCGCCCACTCGCTCACCGGGGGCAGAGTGAGGCCCGGCGCAGCGCTGTGAGAGGGGCCCCAGCATCTACTGAGGGGTATCCACGGGAGGCTGGGAAGGGGTGTGGGGCCTGGCATCTCTCGTGATCCTGGCCAGGGCCAGCCACAAACCAAACCAAACTCCCTGCCTTGGAGTCAATTGCGACTCAGCCACTCCTCCTCGGGTTTCTGAGGTGGTATCACTACGGAAGTAGATTGCCCAACCTTCCTTCCGAGGAGTGGCTGGTGGGTTTGAACAGCCAGCCTGCTGGTTAGCAGTCAAATGCCTTAGGCACTATGCCACCAGAGCTCCTGGCAGGGCCAGTAACCAGCTTCAAATTCAGCTGGGCCTTAGCGCAACCTTGCACCAACTGGGACCCTAATCCTAACCTAGCCTCACCCCCACCTAAACCTTGATCCTAATCCTAATCTTCAATGAGTTGATTCCGACTCATAGGGACCCCATTGGGTTTCCAAGGCAGTAAACCTTTATAGAAGCAAATTGCCCAGTCTTTCTTCTGCGGAGTGGGTGGTGGGTTTGAACCGAAAGCCTTCTGGTTAACAGTCACATGCCTTAGGCACTGCGCCACCAAAGCAACCTAAAGGCTAGCTCCAGCCCTGTCCTAATCTGAACCTAGAATCTCCACCAAACCTAAACCTGATTCCAACCATAAGACAAATCCTGCCTCTCATCCTGATTCTAACCCTAACTCCAGCTCAAAGCCTCATTGTAGTTCCCTGTTTTTCATTTGTGTGTGTGGGGGGAGGGTGTGTGTGGTTTGGGTGAAAGTTGTCACTGTACACTATTTTCCATTCAACAATTTCCACACATTTTGTTTCATGACATCGGTTGTGATCCCCTCAGGGTAACAATGCTCTCCCCACTCCCCCCGTTTCCCTGTGTCCATCTGTCCCTCATTCTGCCCCCTCCCTGCCTTCTGGGCATGTTTTTGGGCAAATGCTGCCCTTTGGTCACGGGTGGTTGGTTTTTCTGAGGAGCACATCCCTCCCTGATGTTATCATTCACTTTATAGGCTTATCATTTGGCTGAAAGTTGGGCCCTGGGGGTGGGTTCAGATGCAGGCTTGAAGGGGGTCTAAGGGCCCCAGTCTCAGGGTTTCCACCAGGCTCTGTCAGATCACTAAGTCTGTCTGTCGATATTTTTGAATGTTAGTCTACATTTTTCCCTCCCTCTTTGTCAAGGACTTTATCTTGTGATCCTAGTCAGCACGGTCTGCAGTGGTGGCTGGGCACCATCTAGTTCTTCTGGTCTCCAGGCCGTAGAGCTGGGGTTCACATGGTCCATTGGTCCTTTGGTCTCATGGTTACCCTGAATCTTTGGTTTTCTTTTATTCTTTGCTCCAGACAGGGAGAGGCCAATAGTTGCATCTTAGATGGCTGCTCATAAGCTTTTAAGTCAAACCCTGATTTTAAACTTAACTCCAAACCCTGCTCTAATCCCAGCTGTAACTCCAAGCCTAACTCAGGCTCCGTGCTAACCCTGAGCTCCAGCCCTGACCTCTGGAGTGAGGCTTCTCACCCCACCCAGCCCTCTCACTTAGCTGTGAGCAGTCAGGATATTTCACACAAAAACCCAGACTTCCAGAGTCACTCGGCCACTTATCCAAAGGTTGGACTTGCTCAAGAAAGGTGCTCAAGAAAGGCCTGGAAATGTACTGTGAAAGGTCACAGCCTTGAAACTCTCTGAAGCACCATGTTCCTCTGACCATGAGTCAGCATCTGGTTGGGTTTTCTTCCTTGGCCTCCTTTTTCCATCATGGGGATGGGGGAGCAGAGCTGGTGGTGGCTTCCCCCTTGAGGGCGTAGCATCCCTGGGCTCACCAAGCCCAACATAGCTTTCCTCCTGAAGGGACACCATGAACACTGGTCTGGAGCCCTTGATCTAGCCCAGTGGTTCTTCAGTCAGGGCGATTTTGCCCCCCAGGGGATGTTCAGAAATGTTTGGAGAACTTTTTATGTTACAACTTGTAGGGGAGTGCTCCTGGCATCTGGTAGGTCGAGGCACAGGATAGCCCTGCCACTAGGATGATCCAGCTTAAAATGTCAGTTGCACTGAGGTTGAGAGACCCTGTTATCTAGACCAGCTAGTCCCTGACTGAAGACGTATCCACGTCATGACCAACTGCACTTACAACAGCCTGTTCTTTGTACATCTTATTGTTAGCAATGTGTGCTACACACAGTGTTGGGGCAGACAGTTTCCTAATGCTCTCAGTCTCAGATGTCCACTTACAGGTGTACAAAGATCCGAGTAATAAAGGCACTGATAATAAAAAGCAATAATAATGAAAACTGAAATAAAAACGGTAGACTTACATCAGAACTGATCGATGATAGGGTTGTCGAACAGAACCCTGGTGTAAGTCAGAGACAACCTAGAAGAGAATATTTATCTTGGCATATGGCCGCCCCATTAAAAACCACATTTCCCAGCCTGCCTTGCAGTGGGTGTGGCCATGTGACCAAGTTCTGACCAATGAGATGTCTGTGTGAGAATGCAGCCCTTTGATTGGTGGATGGTGCCTGTCTGCCGTGCTGGGTGGAATGTGAACATGGCAGCCATGACTAGACCGGGAGCTGCCAACTCCAGGCTGCATGCTGAGGATGGCCAAGGGAAAAGGCAGAAGGGGTCAGGATCTTCACCTCTGTCAGGCCGCCCTACCAGCCCTGTCTGGACTTTTGTGTGGGAGAGAAATACAGTTCTACCTTCAAGCCACTTTGTTTGGTGTCTTCTTGTTACAGCAGCTTCACCTGTACCTGAATTTATTCATGATTCTAAATCTCAGTCCAGTCCTGTTCCCCATTGTCTTAGTTCTCTAGTGCTGCTATAATAGAAATACCACAAGTGACGGCTTTGGCAAACAGAGATTTATTCTCTCACCATTGAGGGTGCTGGCTCTTTGGGAGAGCTTCCTCTCTCTGTTGGCTCTGGAGCAAGATCTCCATCTCTAACTTCTGCTTCCCAGTTTCTTGGAGACTTCTACATGTCTTGGCATCTGTCTTACCCTATCCTTCTTGCTCATTTGCATAATCTCTTTTATATCTCAAAAGAGATTGACTCAAGATACACCCTATACTAATCCTGCCATGTTCACATAACACAGGCAACCCATTCCCAAATGGGGCTACAACCACAGGCATAGCAGTTAGGATTTACAACACATATTTTTGAGGGACACAATTCAAGCCATAGCATTCCACCCTTTGACCCTCAAAATTTTATGTCTTTGGCACATCACATCAACCCAAAAGTCTTAAATCAACTTCAAGTCCAAAATCTCATCTTCTAAATCAAATACGAGTGAGAATTTAGGCGTATTTCATCCTGGGGCCAAATTCCTGTTCACCTGTGAATCTATCTGCAAGTCATCTGTTTCCAAAGTACAATAGTGGGACAAGTGCAAGGTAGACATTTCCATCACAAATGGGAGAAATCGAAGGGAAAGATGGGCTAAAAGGCACCAAGAAAGTCCAAAACCCAGCAGAACAAATTACATTAGTTCTCAAGGCTTAAAAGTAATCCTTTCTTTTCTGAGACAATCTTGGCCCCACCTTCCTGGCTCTGGATGTTGGCCATGCCCTCTGGGTTCTGGGTGTAGGACCTTCAGCTCTGGGCTCCAGCTCCACCTTCCAGGCCCTCTGGGATGACAACTCTGCTCCCTCACTTTAAGCAGCCCCATTCTCCTAGTCCATCTGCATGGTGATCCCCACCCCTCAGCCCCAGCAGGCCCCATTCTTCTGCCCCTTGGCCATGGCAGCACTGCCCCCTCAGCTTTGAGTGGTGGGCCCATCCCCTTGGCACACCTTAGCAGCAGTTTCACACTCTGGAACTGAGCTGGTGAAGATCTGGTTGGGTTCTACCCTTTGAGATCCAGAAGACTGTTGCCCCACCCTTTGTAACCTAGGAGGCCTCGCTCCCAGTACTCTTTCCAACAGTTCTGTTGAACTCTGAGCTGCTCCAGGGATGGTCCTTTTCTTTTCCTGGAGAACAGTAGGTTTAACTCTTTTGGTCTGTTTCCTGCTTATAGGATTCTAAGGGGCAGACGGTGTTCTCTCTTTTTGTTCTTTTTCTGTCCCTTTCAGTCTAAACTGATAGATTTTCTGCTGGTGATTGGTTAGTTCCATCAGTCACAGGCTTAATCTCTTTTTTCTTTTTATTGTGATCTGGGTGAAAGTTTATAGAGCAAATTTGTTTTCCATTCAATAACCTTTTATATTGTGACATTGATTGCAATCCTCACCATGTGACAGCTCTCTTCCTACTCCCTCCCTGTGGTTACCTTTTCCCTGTGTCCTTCTTTCCTAGGCATTCCTGTCCTCTGAGCTTTCTCCCTGCACAAATGCTGCCGTCTGATCTCTCAGGGTTGATTGTTCTAAGGAGTGCACCACCCTGGTGTAAATGTTCACCTCATAGGCCTGTCTATTGTTTGGTTGGAAATAAAGCCACAAGAGTGAGTTCAGTTCTAACCTGAATGGTGGCTACAGTCATAGTTCTAGGAGTTTCACCAGTCTATCATATCAGTAAGCTTGATCTTTTTTTTTTTTTTGCCATGATTTGGGTGAAAGTTTACAGAGCAAATTCATTTTCCATACAGTAGTTCATACACATTTCATTTTATGGCATTGATTGAAATCCCCACAATGTAACAGCTCTCTTCCCACTTCCTCCCTGTGGTTACCTTAAGCTGTCTCCCTGGTGCAAATACAGCCCTTCTGATCTCCCATGGTTGATTGTTCTAAGGAATGTACCTACCTGCTATAAATGTCCACCTTATAGGCCTGTCTATTGTTTGGCTAGGAGCTCTGGTGGTATAGTGCCTAAGGCATTTGACTGCTAACCAGAAGGTTGGCAGTTCAAACCCACTAGCCACTCCTTGGAAAGAAGATTGGGCAATCTACTTCCATAGAGATACCACCTCGGAAACTCAAGGAGCAGTCACTATGAGTCGGAACCGACTTGACAGCAGTGAGTTTGGTTTTGGTATTGTTTGCTTGGAAGCCATGAGAGTGGGTTCAGTTCCACCCAAAGGGTGACAAGGGACCATAGCTTAGGGGGTTTCATCAGTCTCTATCAGCCAGTAAACCTGATCGTTTGTGTTGTTTTTTATGATTTTGAGTTTTATTCCATATTTTTCTCTCACTCTATCCAGGATCTCCAATTTTGATCCCTTTCTGAGTAGCTGGCAGTGATAGCTGCGTCTAGTCTAGTTCTTCATGTAGGTGGAGGTTTCCATGATCCACTAGTCCTTGGACTAATTGTTGCCATGCAGCTTTGGTTCTCTTCAGTCTTCTTTGCTCCAGATGAGGAGAGACCAAAGTTGCATCTTAGATGGCTTCTCCCAAGCTTTTAAGACCTCAGTCACTACTCACCAATATGGGACACAGAACAATGTTTTTGTGTAGTATATTATGCCAATTGAACTTGATGTTCCCTGCAACCATGGTCCAAAGTCACCAACTTAATCTCTTTAACAAAAGTGTAGCCACATCATTGGTGAAAAATCTAGGATGCATGTCCTTAGTTTGTACAACTGAATTTTCCCAAACTTTACGTTCTGTTTTCATTTTGCACAGTTCACTTTTAAGTCCATCTCTTTCCTCTCGTATTTTACTATAAGTGGCAAGGACAAACCACATGGTCCCTTTAAGATCTTGCTTAGAAATCTCATTAACCAGATATTAAAGTTTATCAGTGATAAATTCTACTTTCCACTAAACATTTGAACATGATTCAGACAAGTTCTTTGCCACTGCATAAAAAGGATTATATGTCTTCATTGTCCAATCACATGCTCATTGTTTTGTTAAAAGCCTTTTTAACAGCTTTCTTTTAAAAGCATATTTAATGTTCACAGATCTGGCAACATTTTGTGGATGGTGCCATATGTGTTCTCTAAGAAGACAGACTTTACCTATAGCTCTCCTCATTTCCTTCTGGGCCTTCACCAGAACTGCCTTTGACATCCATAATTCTACCAACAGTTCCTTCAAGGCAATTTAGGCTTTTATTATTATCCACCTTAAACCTTTTCCAGCCTCTACCAATTACCCAACTCCAAAATCACTTCTGCAGTGTAGGTATTTCTTAGAGCAGCAACCCCACTCCTGGTACCAAATTCTATCTTAATTCTCTTGTGTTGCTGTAAAAGAAATACCACAGTTGGATGGCTGTTTTTTGTTTTTTTTTTTAATGTATTTTTTCATGGTTTAGGGGCAAAAAGTCCAAATTGGGAGTACCAGCTCTGGGGAAAGATTTACCCTCTCTGTTGGCTCTAGAGGAAGGTTCTTGTCTTTTCAGCTTCTCCTTCCTAGTTCCTTGGTTCCTTGTATCTTGGCATCTATCTCACCCCAATCACACTCTGCTTGCATGTTTGTCTCTTTTATATCTCAGAATAGATTGGCTCAAGATACACCCTGCACTAATTCTGCCTCATTCACACAGCAAAGAACCCATTCCCAAATGGGACTGTAAGCACAGGCATATTGTTGTTGTTAGGTATCGTCCAATCAGTTCTGACTCATACAGACCCTATAAACAAAAGAACAAAATACTGCCTGGTCCGGCACCATCCTCACAATCACTGCCATGTTTGAGCTCATCATTGCACTCACTGTGTCCATCCATCTCGTTTAAGGGTCTTCCTCTTTTTGGGGACCCTGGGAACCCTCTACTGTACCAAGCATGATGTCCTACTCTAGGGAATGGGCCTCCTGATCATACGCCCAAAACGTAAGACAAAGTCTTGCTATCCTCACTTCTAAGAAGCATTCTGGCTGTGCCTCTTCTAAGAGAGATGTGTTCTTTCTTCTGGAAGTCCATGGTGCATTCAGTATTCTTCACCAACACCACAATTCAGGATTTATAACACATATTTTTATATCACAATTAGGATTTATAACACATATTTTTTGAGGATGCAGTTCAACCCATAACACCAACCATGGCAAATTTCTGGCCTAAATCAGAGCCTTTCTGGCAAGAGAAACATTGGGAAGAAAACATCACAGATGTTGTCAATCTGGGGCCCGAGGTGTCCAGCCTCCAACACAAACATTCCAGTGCTGCGGGCAGTGACGAGGACCTCCAGTCGGCCTCTCTGCCCTCCACAAACTCCGAATCACAGTCAACACAGGGAGCCGGAGGGGGCTTCCAGGGCCAAGGAGACTGGGAGCACACCTAGCTCATTTTCCCCATGTGTGCAGGACTCATCTGTATGTTCCTATTTGAAAAAAACAATGAAAGCAAAACAAAACAGTCCCTGAACTGCCTCTGGCTCTGAAGCATGTGTCTGCTGCGGTCAGCTTCACAAACCAGGGGCATGAAATTGCTTTTACTAAATTAACTATTCCCCTGAGGCCGGTTCCCCCAGATTCCACAGGGAGCAGGTGTGATGAAAGCCACCAGGACCCTTGAGCAGCCTCAGGACAGTGAAGGTGGCCGTCATGACCCTCACACCAACACCGTGCCTGTCACACTTGCACCCATGGACACTGCCTGGCTCGTATGGCCCTGCCTGCCTGTCCACTTGGGCACAAGAGCAGTGGTGCTCTGAGTGCCCGTGACCTTGGGTCACAGTCGGGGGAAGGCTGTGCATCACTCTGTCCTGTTCTGAGCCCTGCAGGTAATCGGTGCTCAGTAGACAACAGAAAGAACACCACTCAGGCGGGAAGCTGGGCTCGGCTACTCTCTGGGCTCTATGGCTGGTCTTGTGACATGAAACTGACTAAGATGCCTGCCTCAGGGAGAGCTCAGCAAGAGTGACCTGCGTCCATCTGTCCATCCTCCATGCGGGGTGCTGGGACTCAGGGTGGATTAGGATCTGGGTACCCATCCTAACAGAGCTCACAGCACCGGGACAAGGGCCATTAACCCGAGGTGTCCGGAGAGGCCACTGGAGGAGAAAAGCCCTAGCACTAAGCCAGGTCCCACAGGGCTCAGCAAGAATTGGTTGTTGTCAGTTGCCATCGGGGCAGCTCCAAGTCACAGCGACCTTGTGTACCCAGAAAACCCTGTGTGGTCCTGCACCACCTACATGATGCTTGGTGTGTCTGAGTCCACGGTTTTGGTCACCCGTCTCACTGACAGTCTCCCTTGTTTTCAGTACCCTGCACTTCGGCACCCATGGCACTGCTTGCTAGAGACTAAACATTCGGCCTTCCCCAGTGATCTGTCCAAAGCAAGTGAGCAAGCCTCCTCATCCTTGCTGTGAAGGAATAATCTGGCCATATTTCTTCTAAGACCGATCTGTTCGTTCCTCTGGTGGTCGGTCCATGGTACATTCAATATTCTCCTCCAATACCTGCATTCGACACATCAGCTCTTTGAGGGTCTTTTTCATGATCCAGATTTTCCAGGTAGGAGGTGGCCCTTCCCTTTCCTGTTGCAGCGGCTGGTCACCAGGAAGGCCTCCCTGCAGGCAATGAGCAGTAGATGGGACGCGGGCCTGAGCCCCAGCCTCAAGCCCCCAGCACTGCCCCTCAGAGACCCCAAAGCTTCTGTAAAGTGGGCGTATTAACAACACCTGCCTCTCGGGGGTGCTGAGGGGCTGAAATAAACAAGAGGCTTTCAAAGGTCTGTTCATTCTGACAGCTCCGGGGAGGGCTTGGAGGAGAGACACCTGGCTGGAGGAGACCTGGGGCTCAACCCAGGAGTGGGCCTGAGGGGAGGCCACAGGTCCAAGCCCAGGGGGTGCCAATTCCAGGGTCGTGGTCTCTGGAGTGAGAGTAGACTAGGTGGGAGAGGGGAGGGGCATTGGCCTGGCCAAGGAGTCACCCCTTCAGTGTCAAAGCCAAGCTCAGAGCCCCCTCTCGGGAAGCCCCTCTTGTGCCCCCATGCCCCCTGGGCTGTGTGTTAATTTCCTAGTGCTGCTGTAACAGCACTACCACAAGTGCAGGGCTCTGAAGAACAAACGCAACTGCTCTCACAGTTCTGGGGCTACGGGTCCCATCAGCTCCTGCCTTGCCCCATAGCCCCACGTTCCTTGGTTTCTTGGCTCAGAGATGATCCTCACATTAGCATCTATCACCCCGTGTGTCCCAGTGTCTATTCTGCTTCCCATAATTCAGAAGGAATTTGGTTTAGGACCCACTGTGCTGTATTTCCAAACAAGGACACATCCACTGTCAGCGGAAAAAAAAAAGAACTCCCTGCAGTGGAGTCCATTCCAACCCACAGCACCCCTAGAGGACAGAGTGGAACTGCCCACAGGGTCTCCAAGGCTGTCAGTCTTCACAGAAGCAAAGCCCAAACCACACCCACTGCCTGGAGTCCATTCCAACCCACAGCACCCCTAGAGGACAGAGTGGAACTGCCCACAGGGTCTCCAAGGCTGTCAGTCTTCACAGAAGCAAAGCCCAAACCACACCCACTGCCTGGAGTCCATTCTGACCCACAGCGCCCCTAGAGGACAGAGTGGAACTGCCCACAGGGTCTCCCAGGCTGTCAATCTTCATGGAAGTTGACTTCCTCATCTTTCTCCCACAGAGTGGCTGCTGTGTTCCAACTGCTGTCCTTTTGGTTGGCAGCTGAATGCTTTAACCACAGTGCCACCAGGGCCAGGAATATTTGTGGGGGACACAGTTCAATCCATAACTGGCACGCGGGCTCCTCTCCAGGAAGGCCGCCAGAACATGGTCTAGACTGTCAGCAGGTCTGAGAGCACCTCCAGGGCAGTCCCACGGCTGCAGTATGCGTCCCCCAAGGCCAGCGCAGCCCCAGCACCGAGGAGGCCGGGACCAGCGCTCAACGTCAGAAAAGGCAGAACTTTCCCAGGATGACACGGACTTCTGAGGGGGAGTGAGCTCCCTGTCACTCCAGGTGTGCAAACAGAGGCTGGGTGCTGTGGACTGAACTGTGTCCTCCAAAAACAGGAGTCGGGGACCTGGCCCCTCTGCCTGTGGGTGGGACTCCGTGTGGGGAGAGGGTTCCTTCATGAAGTTCATGAGCCATGCAAGGTTTGTCTTAAACCTCACGAATGCTCTGGGTGAAACAGTATAAACACAGAGGCAGGCACAAATGGGGGGGGGCAGATGCCACATGGAGACAGCCAAGGACCCAAGGGGCAGAGCCAAAAGAGATAAGGACCGCCCCCTGAGCCGGCAGAGAGCCAACACCCTGGATGTGGACTTGGAGCTTCTGCACTGTGAGAGGCTTAGCTTCAAACACCACCAATGTCCGTGTCGTCTTCACGCCCTCTGCACTGACTCTGAGATCCTGCCTCCCTCTCTCCCTTCTCAGGACCCTGTGGTTCACCGGGCCACCTCCCATCTCAGGGCCTCTCACTCAGTCACACCTGCAAAATTCCTTTGCTGTGCATGGTCACCGACACACAGGCTCGGGGACGGGGACAAGGGCGTCTTTGTGTGGGGGCATTGTTTGCCAACCACAGACCCACACAGGGGTTCTTTAAAAGAGGAAAAATAGGGCCGTGGAGGGAAACTGGTCCGCATGCCTTCAGCTGCAAATGCAGAACGTTCCCCAGAAAACAGCTTGAACAACGTGCCCCCTGGGTAGCTCCTTGGCAGGGGGTCGGGCCAAAGCGGGGTCCAGGGTGGTCAGTTTGCAAGCTAATTAACAGCTAATGAACAGCACTGAGGCCAGGCCCTTTCCTTATGTCTGTGGTTTTCATTTTCATCCTTGTCTCCTCCTGGTCACAGAACAGCTGCCACGATGCCTACCATCACATCACCACATGCGCACGGCCAAACAGGAAGGAAGGGGTGGGCCTTTTGCGCCTCTTTCATGAGCCGTTGGGAAGAAAGTCTTGTTTCATTGGTCAGACCTAGGTCACATGGCTTTCCTCCTCCAGCCAATGGGAAAGGAGAATGGGCCCACTGTGATAGGCTGAAAGGAGTCATGCTTTTCCCTGGGGTGGGAGGGGCCTCGTTTCCCGGACAGGTGGCTCCCCCTCCCCGCAGGAAACCAGGTACGCAAAGGTCCTGGTTAGCTGCACTGTGCAGCTGATAGCACAGACACAGCAGCTTGAAACAACACATATTTTATTGTTTTTAAGGAGTTGTGGTGGCATAGCGCCTAAGGCACGTGACTGCTAACTAGCAGGATGGCAGTTCAAACCCACCAGCCACTCTGCGGAAGGAAGACTAGGCAATCTACTTTTGTAAAGATTTATTTTTATTTTTTAACACAAAGGTAATTTATAAATATTTTATAAATGTAACAAATTAAATTCATATATGTAAATGCTGATGGTAAACTTAATCAAACATTTTATTTATTCACAAGTCCAATATCTGAGTTTCTTTAGTGTTTGGACCTTATTAAAACACACACACACACACACACACACACACACACGAAGGAAAATTACAAGTGTAGACAAAGATGTGGGGAAACTGGTGCTCTACCCCATTGCTGTGGGGAGGTTATACGGTGCAATCACCGTGCCCAACAGTCCGATTATTGACTTTGACCCGTCAGAAAGGTTGTGGGTTTTTTTGGAAAGAACATACGTTTATTACTGCAGCATTTCCAGGGGTCAGGGTCTCATAAGGCTCCAATTAAGGGGTCAGCAGTGGCTACAATCCCACCTCAAGTTCAGGGCTCTCCTCGAGTGTCCAGTTGACAGAATTCAGTTCCGTGAGGTTGTGAGACACAGCCCCATTCTCTTCCTAGCTATTGCCCTGGGACCAACTCTCAGCTCCCACAGGCCGCCCACCAGGCCTTGCTACGTCACCCCTTCCTCTCATGACACGACCATTTGCTTCATCTTTGAGGCCAGCAAGAGCGTTTCTTCTTCTTTTAAAGGACTCACCTGATTAGATCAGGCCCACCCAGGAAAGCCACCTTTATGATTGACTCAATGTTGCCACCTGCGTGACAGCCCATCCTGCCCACAGGTGTGGCCCACGCCCCAGGGCAGGGGTCATACAGGTGTGGCCTGCACACAAGGGTGCAGGCTATCGGCCCCATCTGGGATTCCACCTACTGCATCAGACAGGGAGGAGGCAAGCACCCGCTGCTGGTACCATGTCACCGTGCCTGTCCCCCCCCCCCATCCTGGACCAACCCCCAGCCCGATTTTGGGGCCGGTTACCGCCTTCTTGTCCTTAGGTCTAAACTTAGCCAGTCCCCGAAGCAGCCTCCTCGGGCCCCCACCGGCCCGGGTTCCTCTGTCTCTGTGTCCTCTGGGCTGTCCCTGCCAACACCTGTCCCCATCTGCAGACCACAGGCAACACCTTCTCCTCCACAGTGGGTGCTGGGCACTGCCCACGCTGCCATAGCAGGTAGTCACTGGACACTGGCGGACGTGTGGACACGCTCGTGTTCGTGGAGGCCAGGCATACACCATGGCTCCTGGAGGCTCTGTGTGGAGCTAGGGTGGGGGTTGCAGGATGTAACTGGGATGCTGAGCCCCGGGGAGGGGCCAACAGAGGAGAGAGCAGGAAATAGGCCAACTGGGAGCAAGTGTCATATCCCTGAACATCTCGCGCTCTGTCCCTCCCACCCTGAGGCTCCAAGTGACAGGTACCAGTGTGGCTAATGGACTCCAAGCCATGGACTGAGAGGCAGGTGTTCTGATGGGGTGGGAGGGCACCCTAAGGGTTGAGGAGGCCTAGTGGGCAGAGGCGTGGCCCGTGCCTGGGACCCAGGACTGGGAGTGGGGCCAGGGCAGAGCCTCAGCGAGCAGCCTTGGCCTGAATAATTTACAGCATCCCTGGAAGGTATTCTTCACAGCAGGTGTGGGAGGGGACTAGAGTCACCTCCACTTACAGGGCTCCCCAAGGTCACCCAGAAAACCTGGTCAGTCAACACTGGAGCCCAGCTCTGAGCTTCTGCCCAGCCACCTCCCCTAGCCGGGGCTTAGGACTGGGGTGGTCCCAGACACGGCTGAGCGGACCGAGGTGGGGCCCTCCCAGGCCACCCCAGGGCTTCCACGTGACAGATGTGCCCTGAGTATCTGTGGACTGAAGGAAAGATGTCAGGGTGGTGCCTGGCCTTGAACACCAGACTCAGGTGTCCAGACAGCCGAGGGCAGCAGGAAGTCCTTGAGGGAGGGACCCGGCCAATAAGGTGCCAGCCAGAGAGGCTGAGCTCGCAGGCGCTGGGACTGGTTGGGGGCTCCGGGCTTGACCCCAGAAGAACCCTGGCTGGTGCTCACTACACCATGCCGAACAGCTGCTGGAGTCCATTACAGTGCTGCCAGCCCCAGCCAGGCCCCGCAGTGGTCCTGTCTCCTCTGGGACCTGCAAGCTGATGCGAGGCTCCCCACGGACCGACCCGTGCCGCTGTGATTCCGTCCACACTCAGTGCTGGCCCGGCCGGCCCTGATGCTTCCAGGAGGGGCCCGTTGCCCGGCCCTGTCTGTTGAAATGAGACTTCAAAGACAAGTACCCACCCGCCCCTCCCCAGGGCTCCTCCTGACTCAGGCCCCTCCCTCCCCAGCAGGCAGCAACTGAGGGCAAAGACCGGCACCAGACAACTCCCCACGGAGCTCACAGCCAGGTGGGGAGAGAGAGGCGACTGCGAGCTGGCATGGATCTTGGACCGGTCCGGTTGGATGCCCCCATTTTACAGATGGGAAAACTGGGACCCAGGAAGGAGGGGGGTTGTCCGCTGCCGCATGGCGAGCCAGGGAAGGGGTGGGAGCTTCAGTGCGCACCAGACATGCCCAACTCTGCAAAGCTGGGGCAGAAAGAGCCTAGTGGGGGGGGGGACGCTGCGACCGGCCCTGGGTTCTCCCGGAGCACAGGAGCCCGTACCGGCAGCCAGGAGCCAGCAGCACGGAGGCAGAGCCCAGAGAAGAGCAAACCTTCTCAGGGACCCCGGTCAAGGCGCAAAGGCACGCCCGCCAGCCCCGTCCCTCCCAGCCCTCCACTGAGCTTCAATAGCGCACACGGTGGCTGAGCTGGGCCTGGGCTGGGCAGGGGCACTCAGAGACACTGCCTGCCACTAAGAGCCCAGACAGACACGGCCACAGCCTCTCGCCAGGCCACCCTGGGGCAAACAAGACGGCTCCTCCAACAGGAGAGGTCAGGGGAGGCTTCCTGGAAGAGGGGTCACAGTGAATGACATTTGACGGGAGTGGGGGGGCCCACGTTTGGACAGGAAGGCCTCAAGAACGGCACGTGTCAAGGCTCCGAGGTGGACAAGTCCAGCATGGTGGTCGAGCAGCTCCAGGAGAGAGTGGGGGGCAGCGGCAGCTGGTCAGCGGTGGGTGTGCCCGCAGACACGCCCCGCCCAGGTCAGCAGAGCCTCAGCACTGCCCCAAGCCCACCCAGCACATGAAGCTGGGTGCCCCCTGGCAGCAAGCTCACCCCCACTCCTGCTAAGTGGGGGAGCAGTGCCTGTCTCCCAAGGCTGCTGGAGGAGGAAGGAACGTCAGGTGCCCACACAGTGCCTGGCATGTGCCAGCCCCCAGTGCGCAAAAGCGGCCCCTCCACCGGCACGCACGAGGTGCCTGGAAGCTGAGCAGTCTGCACCCACACCCAGCCACACCCGAGGGGCGGCAGGCACGGGGCACCCCAGGCCACATCAGCAGAGGTGTGGTGGGTTCCCAACCCCACCCACAGCTGAGTCCACACTGGCAGCAACAAGTGGACTCATAGTGCGGGATGCTGGTGGCTGGAGATGTACCCCGACTGGAGAATGGGGGTGAGGAGCAGACTAAGGTGCATGGGTGTGGCACACAGAGGGGTGTGCAGTGTGAATATGGTGAACACAGAGTGTGTGCACAGCATGGGTGGACACATGTACATGCATGTGCACACACATGTTGACGCACATCTGTGTGTGCAGAGTATGTGTGCCTGGATGCACATGCACACATGACTGGCTGCATGTATATGTGTGTGGATGTGTGGATGCATGTATGTGTCAATATTCTGTGGGTATCTGTACATGTGAGTATGTGCACACGTGTGCATGTAGATGCTTGTATGAACAAGTGTGGCTGTGCACACACCTGTGTGCATACTGCATGCATACACATGGGGCTATTCAGGCATGCACATGCACGGACACACATGTAGACATATACATGTGGATGCACACATGTATTGGCATTGTGTGGATGCACATGCATGCACAGGTCGTGTGCATGGCTGTGTATGGATGTCCATGTAGGTTTGCATGTGCACACATGTATGCATGCAAACATGTGCATGTGGATATGTGGGCTCACCTGTGGGGGCACACACATGCACATGTGGATATATGTGTACACACATGGCATGCAGATAAGTGTGTGTACGTGTGTGTGCACACAAGGACAAGTGCATGTGGGGGGGGTCAAGAAGACACTCCCCTCAGCCTGAGCTGAGGCTCCTCTGCCATGGAGGGCGCTGTATCCTGGGGGGCATCCCAGCCCCTCTGCCAGCTCAGCCGCCACGTGTGCAGGCCGAGCAGCTGGCCTGGCTGTGCGTGTGTGGCCCCCCCTGCTGGGCCCTGCTCTCACCACGAACTCGCCACGCTTCCACGTGATTTTCCTTTTGAGACCCCCCCACTCCTTCCCCAACGCCCCTTGAACACAGCTACCATGTGCACACACACACACACACAGAGCCTTGGACTCCCCGAAATGCCAACTCAGCCACCAGCGATGCCAGGCTGGGCGTTTTTGCAGCTTGTTGCCAGGGAAGGCCTGCTCTTTGCCACCCTGGGCTGAGGCCTCTCCCACGTCTTCATCGACAGCCATGGTCCTTGGGCCTCCCCTGCCTGCAGGCGGGTCCACGCACAACGCAAGACACAGCGGAGGCCACCACGGCCCCTACGAACTCACCGCGGGGACCCCAGCTCCCTCTGCCCTCAGCTCCAGGCCAGGCAGCCCCGCAGGACAATCGCTGCCGCCCACCCTCCTCAGCTTTGAGCCAGCCTCAGACCATGCAGCCTGTAAGTCAAACGCTGCCAACTGTCCCCCAGGGCCTGGGTCACCAGCCGCGTGGCACTCCAGACAATCCCCCACGAGCCTGCCCGAGAGCTGCACCCTGGGCAGCAGGCAGTCCCGTGTGGTCTCGGGCCCCACGCACTCTGCTGCCCTTCCCTCGACTCCCTGAGCCTGGGCGGCAGCTGCTGGTGAGCATGGCGGCTACGGTTGGAGCCAGGAGCCCTTGGTGTCTCCCCAGGCCCTGCACCCCCAAGTGCAAGATGAGAACCCCTCATGACAGGAATTGCCCACATGGCGACCCGGCTACTAGGAGAGGGAGGGACCTTTCTGCCACCTGCCACCTCCCCTTTTGGATCTCCCAGGACAAAGCCCACCCCACCCTTCACATCACACCGTAGGGGGCACAGCCTACAGCAACCTCCCCTTCCCTAACGCGGCTAATTTTCCATTCTCTGAAACCCGGACACCTCCTCCAGGAAGCTCTCCCAGACAACCAGCTCCCAGGCTGGGGAAGGACCCTTACCAACAGCACCTCATCCAGTAAACACTGTCCATCTCTCGAGGCACCGGCTGCCCCAGATGGTGAGCACCCTGCGGCCAGGCCCCTCCGACACACAGAGGACAGCCCCTACAGACGCGCACTCACCAGGCTGAGGACAGGGTCCCAGAGGGACCCTCAGTAGGCGCCATCTCTCTACTGTCCCTGGTCACGTACCTCTCCAATGTGAGCCACGGCCCTCCACTCCACGCCTGTGTGCCCAGGCACCAGATTCACAGAGTCCCTGCGGGCCCCGCCCAGGACAACTCTTACCATCCTAGCTCCCACATCTGGAATCTCCGAGTCCGGCCTGGCCTGGAGCTACTTCCCGCTGCGGGCTCTGCTGGTGCCAAGCCTGGTTCAGGAGCCTCGCGTTGGCCTCTCTGCCAAGATGGCAGCACTCTTCTTGAGAGGCTGCTCACCCAGCTGGAAGCGCCTGCTACGGGGCTGCGTGAGGTCCTTGCAGAGTTCAGCAAGCAGAGGGCAATAGCTCAGAGCCCTTCACGGGGACGCTGCTGTCATCATGGGGGGACATGTCCCAACCCCTGCCCATCACGCCCGCCTGTGCACCCAAGGCAGATTCCGCCTCCTTCCTGCCCTCCCACCTGAGCGTGTGGGAGAACTGGGGGTAGCACAGGTGAAGCTCTAGACTGCTGCGGGGAGGAGACCTCTCTGGGCCTAGCAGGGAAATGCCTGGTGTGGGGTCTCCCGTCGGTCTCCTTGGCCTGCCACGTCTTCCCTGGAATCTGCCGCCCCCAGAAGTCAAACTGCCTGGTGGCAGAGACCACCCACCAGAGTCCACAGTGGGCTGGGGAGTGACAGGGCACGTGCAAGGGCCGGGGGACAGGGGTAATCAGCAGGAACCCCAACAGCCTCCCCCCTGCCTCTACACGCATGAGACACCCACGCACAATACCCGCCCGCCCTTGGCTCAGTCGGGGGTGTTAGTCAGAGAAGATGACTTTCCCCATCTCCCCCCGCCCTTTAGAAGAAGGGCCACCAGGCCCAGGAAATCGACTTCACACGCTGCCAACACAAGCGCAGGGCTTGGTGGCAGCCCAGGGCGTCTACCCGCACCACCGTGATGATTCACGCTCCCGCAGCGCCGGGACCAGCAGACCGGGAAA